ATTAGTAAATTTTAATAAGTAATATGACTTTAATCTAGCTGCACTAGACATGCTGACTACACGTAATGTAAACACATGACGCATTGCTTTTACTCATTCAATCAGAACCTTCCTTTCTGAAGCGTGGCATAGTCTCTGTGGTGTTTATAAATCTGCCAACTTTGATTCGACCATAAATCAAAAGATCCAGATTAATAAAGCAAGTCCCCACGCCATCTTAGTTCAGTTCTCTGAGTTCTCTTCAGTTCAGTTCAGTTCACCGCATTCTAAGAGAAGTATTGGACCGGCCACCCAGACTTCCTTTTAAGCAAAGAACCAAAAAGCTGGATAAAATCTGTTGCACTTTACCAACCAAGCAACGGTTCCTTTCAGAATAAAAGCTGAACTCACTAACCCTCCGGGTCCATCTGACACTGTCAACCAACTGTTGCTTTTTACCTGGAGACAATCCAAAGACTAGTCTGTTGTACCGCTGACGCTGTTTCATCGGCTCCGGTACCGAAAGGGGGGTCCGAGGACCTGGCATTCTGGATCTGTACGAAGGTCTCATCCTAAGGGTATGTGTGGAGCGACAAAATGGCGTCTTATGTGTTTATGAAACTCTGATCATAGCTTAAGAGCAAAACATCACAACATCATTCAGTCTTGCTTCTCTGGATATGAGAGTTCTGATGACAAACATCACTCACACATACACCATCCATCTCACGTCTCATTCACACCAAGATCCATTCATCACTTAGAGTTTAGAGTTAGTCTTGTTTAAAATTGTTTAGAAATAAATCTTAAACGTTTTAAAAGTGACTCTCTCTTCTCTTATCTCTCAGTTAATATGAAGTGTTACATAATCCCTGCAATAAAAAGTTCCAATCATCTGGTTAAAAGTACCCAAAGATCCATTAGATTGATTTCATATTTTCTATGGAATCTCGTGTCTTATGGTTCATTAAATAGATGTAAATTAACCCTTTACATAGGGAATGTGGGTTATATGGGTCATTTTAATCTGTTAAGCACTTTGTGTTGCTTCCTGTGCATGAAAAGTGCTATATAAATAAAGTTTGATTTGATTTGTTTTGAAGCAGGGATGGAGCACAGCAGACCAGGAAGTTTATCCAGGAGAGCAGGGACGGAGGCTGATGGAAAACATCTCGTCATGACGTTGAAAAAGCAGATATTCCTGATTATTGAATGACCTACCAGCAAAGAATGGAAGGTGAAATCAGTGGACAAGGTGTAAGAGGACTCTTGATTTGTGTTCCCGTGGAATAGTGGAGGATTCTGGGTTTGGGTTCCTGTGGTGTCGGGGAACTGGGCGGTCAGAGGTAGAGGGTTTGTCGTGGAGGTGCTCACCTCTTGAGCCAGGGCAGATAGTCCAGCAGTGTCAACACACAGCATCCTTCACTATAGGGAGCCTAAGGCTCCTCCCATTCCAGTCGGCTCATGGGTCCCCGGAAGAATGAAAAAATGAATGCAAGTCAACGGGGCTAAACGAGCTATTTTCTAATCCGCTTTGCCTTACGCCCTGGATCACACGTATGTTGTACTGCAATTTCAATGAAAACAAATGATGGGTGTTTCAACCACACCTGTCACATACTTTTGAGATTTAATTAGCATGACTACAAACAAGACATTGGATACGTCGCATATGTGACGTCACCACATAATCTTTTCTCCTCTAGCTTAGCTGCTACTTACCACATCGCCAGATTTATGGTGGCTCTTTCCTCCTGAAGGAAGGATTTGAAGTTTGCTGAATTTACAGACATTTTCCCTCTGCTTTTCTCCGTGTCTGGTTCGATGACGTCACTTTTGTGAAGCACATTTGTAGTGTAAGTGTGGACTTACTTTCACACAAAACCTAAAATGGCGACTCCCCCTTGCAAAAATAAGCACATTCTTGGTATCAAAATGCTTCTTTAAAATTCACGGACATCATATGTGAAATTCATGGCTCAAAACAAGCGGAATTACAAAATAGCATTTTTAGGCCCGCTGACTTGCATTCATGTTATCTTTCTTCCGGGGACCCATGTAAGTAGATGGGCGTGACTTAGGCTCCCTATTCTGTGTCGGTCAGCAGAGGTTGAGGTCTGGGGGAAGAGAGTGTGGAGGTTGCTTCTTCTGGACTACAGACTCCTGCTGGATGTCATCAGACAGTTGAGAGGGAGGAAGGGGCCTAAAAGTATCAGCTGGTTGTTCCTCAGTGAGAGGAGAGAAGGGGTTTGAAGGACTAAGGTCAAGTGGGGGGATGGAATCAACAACAGGGGCTCTCCTAAGGCCACGTACTACAACCTCTGACCAAGATGAAAATGGGTCAGGAGCTGGAAGGTTGTCATGGTGCAGAGGGGTCACAAGCAATGATGTCTTGGAGCAGTGAATTTTGCATGGATGTTTAATTTTCAAACTGACAAGGGTCTCAGACAATACAGGGGTACGAGTTCTAAAACTGTCCAGCAGCATTTCCTTCTTTTGCAGGTCAGCAGAGAGTCGTTGTATATCCTCTTTGAAAAAGCATAAACCCGTCATTGTGGGGCAGAAGGAAAGGGAAGACAGACATTCAAAATAGCTTCAAGGTTGCTTACACTTTAGCTGAGCTGCCTCTGTCGGATCCGAATAATTTGAAGTCCAAATAAAGGCCCAAGAAGTCAAAGAATCCCAAAAATTAATAAAGGTCCAACAAAATCATAGAATCAAGAGATCAGTGACAGGAAAAAACAGGTTTTAAGAGGAGTTAGAGCACAAAAGGAGGGAGCTGAAGTAAACACATCTGCCACGTCTGATCTGCAACTTACTCATGTTACATAGGGTTGGGCATCGTTTGATTTTGAACGATTCCGATTTCAATTCCTCGTTTCGATTCTGGTTCCTATCGATTCCCGATTCCGATTCTTTGGCGACATGCCATGTTTTACATGAGCCAGCTAACCACAGGTCCTAATTGATGAAATAATCTTAACTTCAACATGAATTTTAATTCTATGAACAACAACATCACCTTCATTCAGACACAAACATGTATTGGAGAAGAAAGAAAAAGACTTGCAGCACAACCAGTGTGTTTGTTTCTGACCACAACCAAAGTCTGGAAGAAGCCTCTGGGATGAGAGGCTAAATGCCTCCAACATATCCATATCCTAACCAAACTTTGAGCCATTCCAGGAAAAACGAACAGTTGGAACCAGTTCCAATCGAAGCTCGATGCCCAACCCCATGTACCATAATTTCCGGATTATAGAGCGCACCTCAATATACGCCCCACCAACAAAAAAACTGGTTTTCTACACACACGCAGCACTCAAATACAAGCCGCGGCGCAGCAGCCACATGCAGGTCTCTGGCGCACAGCGCATGTACGGCCATAACATCAGATAATCAGACAGAAAGACGCTACACGGAGGTTTTTTATTGTTTTAATTCAACAAAATGAATTTTAAACACGGGTGAACGTGCCTGCAAGTTTAGAAAACAGCACTGATAGCATTCATATTTCTGGATGGTTATAAAATAAAAACAGAACTGACACGTTATTACCGGTAATTTGCATGTTTAGAAGAAAAGAACTGCGCTGACACAGCATTAATAAGCCCTGGATGATTAGAAAATAAAAACTGCACCCAAAACATGCCTGGTTAGTAAATAAAACACACTTGCCTACCAGAAGAAGTCATTCGCTCTCATCTTTGTCTTGCGCACTAAAGCCATTAAAGTCCTCTTCTTCAGTGTCGGAGTTGAACAGCCTCAGAAGAGCTTCGTCACATACCTTTTCTGTGGCGATGTCATTGTCGCTGTCCGTGTTGCTGTCACCATCCCCGGGTGAAGCTGGCTTGAATGAGTTCTTCCCGCTGCCGTCTCCAGCGCCGAACCATGGATTCATTCATGCCAAGCTTACGTGCGGCAGCACTGTTTCCCTCCTTTACTGCCAGATCGATGGCATTCAGCTTAAATGCGGCATCATATGAACTCATACGTGTAGTTACCATGATGAGGGGGTATGGATTTGAAACAAATTCTTTGTCGTGCCGGCTGCTTACATGTGCTAAATTAAAATGAGCACTTTCAATTTCCACCTTTGACTTCCACCTGTTTCACTTTCTGCTAAAGCGCCCCCTGCAGGTGAAGGAAAACCTTCAGTAAAGCCGCACCTCATTATGAGCCGCATGGTTCAAAGCGTGGAAAAAAGTAGCGGCTTATAGTCCGGAAAATACGGTATTACTTTCCATAAATCAATTAATCAGCTTCTAATTCTCTTCAAGACCCACCGGATACGCTGCATATAAAATGAATGAAAGTGGTGAAAGAACACTGCCCTGAGGAGACCCAGTAGAGGAAATATGGACATCAGAGAGAACCCTATTGACCCTCACCCGCTCAATGGAAAATTAACCAGGGATCTATTTAGGCTGACTAAGCACTAAAGGTGTGAAAACACCTTTACTTATAGAGCATTTTTTAATGGATTCAATGTAGGAAAAGTATATTTTTGTCCAGCAGAACTCATAAGTAAAGGTAGAAACACAGCCAAGACCAATGTGTCTTAACACCAGTCCAAACTTCAAACGTCTATGAGGTTCCCACAGTTATTCACATGGAATTCCATGGTCATTTGCAAATATGTCACCTGTAGCTGCGAGGGAATCAGCTTTAGATGTAGGACGAGTCATGTTTGAGCTTGTCAGTAATCCCTGAATGAACCTCAGCAGCCTGACCCCTGAATGCACTGGCAGTGCTACAATTATGCTGCTGATGGAAATCTGGTGATATTTGTAAATAAACAGAGACTTTCCCATTGGTACCAGGGTAATGAAGCTGGTGGATGTGTAAAGATTTAGAAAACAAAGGTCTCCTAAACTGCTGTCCAAAGGAACAGAATTGGTTTTTATGACAGCCTCCTATCAGTCTGACCTCTTCCCAGTGATGACAGTTGTTTTTCTCCATTTCTGGTTCACCCTCAAGCCAAGCAGCGCATTACAGAGATAACAGTCAACAGATGTTACCTTCTCAAAGTCCTCCTTGTCCATGGTCAACAGGTAGTTCCAGGAGATGTCATTTTCCTACGTGAAAGGGAAAAGTCAGACACAGAAAGGACTTTCTACAGCTGCTCATGTAACAGATGTGCCTGCATTGGGAATCACAAGCTACCTGCACCCGTCAAACCCCGTCCTCAAGTTTCAGTTACGGCTGAAAACTTCAACTGACCCTTAGTTTGAATCAGGCTTCACTAAATCCATTGGAGTCAAATTTGTAAACGATAGTAATCTGTCGGTGATGCAGCTGTGCCAAACACACTCTGGGACCCCCCTATTGCTCTGACAGTGTCTGGTAGTGTGTGGAGCAGCGTGGCATCTTAGCTCGTCATCCAGGCATTGCCAAGATAAGGGAACAGAAATCTATCATCATTCAGAGGTACTGAGCATTTCATAACAACAAAAATACACTCAAATAGTACCTACAGTTATGATGTTGGTCAGGTGTCCCAGATCTAGACCATGAAGGAGAAGCTCCAGTTCATCTAGCACCGTTGCACTAAGGAGAGCAAAACAAGCATTTAAAAGTTCCTTCACATTAGAAACGATTATTATAGGTTTGGACAAATATTGCATAAACATAAGCAAACGCAGTTTGATAAAAACGCTGACTTGACAGAAAGTTTTGCTACATAATAAAGGATTTCTGCAATATTCAGTAAATGACATTTAAGATTCCCATCATTAAAATTCAAGAACATGAATTATTAAAATGTCTACATTCATTCAAAATGCTCTTCAAAGAAGATTTCAGTCTTTCATTCAAATGAATAAACTCTATTCCTACAATATTCATAAAAAAGATCAAAAACTTTTCTCGGTATTTTGTTCCAAACTGCAAATTTACCAGTGGTGATTGTTGCTTCTAGTCAAAGTTGTCAAATAATGAACTACAAATACTTTAAGTAGAGATTTTAGTAATCTCTATTTCACTGGACAAGATAAAAGATCAATTAGCAGACTTTTTACTCAAATCCTTTACATTTTACAATAACCTTGTCACTCCTGTTTTATTTTGGTTTCTCATTGCTTAAAGAAATCCACAAAGACAAAAGAACTTATCCAGATGAATTGCACAATCTGTACAGAGTGAATGTGGCCTAGTGGTAGAGTGTTCGCCCTGGGAGGTCAGGGTTTGAATCCCGGTCGGGTCATACCAAAGACTTGAAAAATGAGACCCAATGTCTCCCTGCTTGACACTCAGGCTTAAGGAGTTGGATTGAGGGGTTAAACCACCAAATAGTTCCTGAGCGCAGCCACAGCTGCAGCTCACCACTCCCCACGTGGATGGGCCTGAATTTGAGTGTGTGATGACTAATGGGACTTTAATAACTTGAAACATGGACTGTTCTGACTCCCTATCGGTCTGTGTGACACAAACCCCATCACACTCCAGCCAGGGCATTCATTCATGACAAAACTAACAAACACTGTATAAACAAACATACAAGCGCAACTATTACTAAGCTGCCATGTTTCTTGTCCAGTTTTATCATCTTTACAGACACTTCCAGCAACTAGTCTGCCTTTTCTGCTGTTCTTGTGTGATATCTGAAATGTGCTGCTGACGAGGAAAACAAGACTTCAGCTGCCAGGCGCTGGGTCTACGTGTCAGACAGGGCCGATGAGCCACTAAACACTCAATGAAGAGGTTTGTTGTTGATGTCTGCAGGGACAGTGAATTAACAACACCTGGCACAGAGACACCAGCACTGTCACAATCCAGCAGGGGGCGACAGGGGGCAGTGAGACGAACAACCCTTACCCTGACTGAACATCATTAACACTCAATGTAGTGTGAGTTGTTTATCATCATTAATAACTCAACACAGATTAGGATTAGAGCCTTATTGTTTGAGCTTCAGACTTATGTCACATCTTGTTTCTGTTTCCTACTCTGCTGTGATTATTACTCAGCTAAAAGTTTAAAGCAGAACGACGACAAACGGATGATACAATGCACAAGGAAATGTCATCTACAACAGAGAGTAAAACAACAAGAAAACAACACATCAAGCCCAGACAAGTTGTAAAGATGTCTCACCATGCCCTGGAAGACAGACACTCTGGGTTTGTCTGGAGGAGTTTAGACCCACTCTCCTCCACAGAACAGAGGGGTTGAGCAGCAGAAAGCTGGGATGAAGATTCCAAAATACGAGCTATCTGTGGACAAATGAGTTCAAGCGTTATGAGATTTAGTAGCTTACTAAAAACCGTGTGTACAGATGATAATTATCCAGCCTAGGGATGAACAATATATCTGCATCAATATCAGCACTGGCTGATATTAGTCATGTTTCAACATATCGGGATAGATATGTAAAACTGGGCCAATTTTAACAACCTATGTTATGTCCACTTGTGTATTTGTTTCAGAGGGTGAGGGAGGTGATGATGTTCAACTGTTTAAGTCATGTGACAGTGATGGTAATCATCTCAGAAGCAAAAATGTGTGTGGTGTGTGTATTTAATAACACACACACACACACACACACACACACACACACACACACACACACACACACACACACACACACACACACACACACACACACACACACACACACACACACACACACACACACACACACACACACACACACACACACACACACACAAAATCTACTTTGCACTTTATAGAAATAAAGCAAGACAATAAAAAATTCTGCTTGCATAATTTTCAGTCTCTGCAACATCTGTTCATTTCAGAAGCATAATGTCAGTGTGTAAATCTACATATTGCTATCAGCCATAACCAAGACTTTAATATCCGTATCAGCCCAAAATGTCATATAGGCACATCCCTAATCCAGCCCTAAACGGACACAACTGTAGACACTTGGGGCTGTGTTCATGGTTTGGTTAGGGTTAGGGTCAGAGCCCACTTTTCTAAGTATCCGTTAAAAGCAACGGAGGCCACAAGCCTGTGATTGGTAAGAACACCACTTCCTCTAACTCTGTCAACAGCACCGCCATTCTGCCTCAAAACATGAAAGAGAACTGAACATATCCAGTGACAGACACGGAGCAGATTGAAGAGCGTCTCATGGTAAAATCCATCCATTTTCGTCTGAATGGAAGATAATGGGAGAAAAACATTAACAGCTTTTAATGTCTTTATAATATGATTTTTATTAAATTTTATTTGAAGAAAATCGTGAATTCAACTGAAATCGTAATTTTTCCTAGAAAAATCCCAAATCAATCTTTTCCTAAAATCGTTCAGCCCTGACAAAGACGACTACAACACACGAGCGGTTACTGCCCTAACCTGCAAGGAAACAACAAAAGCTGTGAGGTTACCCGTGTGCGTTTCAGCCTCTCAGCCAGATCAGCAGGGCTTTCGCCACTCTTTGTTCTTATAGTTTTGTCTGCTCCCAGTTGGAGGAGCTTCAGCACCGCCTCATCTCTGCCAAACTGCACTGCTATGAACAAGGCCTGACAGAAACACATAATACAAGTTTTAAAGACAGTCAAAAAAGGTCCACTTCAGGTAGAGAAAAGCGGGACAAACCGTGAATCCGTTCTTGTCCTGGGTGTTGATTTCAGCGCCGTGGGAAACCAGGAGGTTTATGATCCTACTGTAGCCCTCCCTGGCTGCCAACATCAAGGTGGTTTGTTGTGAGCTGATGAGAACAGCACAACAAAAGGTTAGAAAAGAGGGACAATTAAAAAAAAGGAGCTGGAATGACAAACGCAAAAAACAACTAAACTGGGGAAAACAAAAAAGTATTCAGAATGAAATACCGGAACAGGACCGTGAAGAAACCACTAGAGGGCAGTAGACTAAACATAAACCAAACCCTAATGGTTTCGAAGATCAGAAGAAAATCTAAGCTAAAACAGAAAAGAGCGTTAATAAAATATGGTTGTAGCTTCTTGGAAATCATTATCATAATTCTCATCTAAGACTAAAAGTTGGTTTACTACATAGAGAGGCTAAGCATCTTTCTTATGGGAAAGTTTATTTACAGTTAGAAATCTGAATTCAACATGTTCAATTTTATTTTCAAGGGGGGCTTAAATGTTGCTATACTTCCAGTTTCACTTGCAAATTTGTGCCTACAATGTTTTATGTCGGACTTTCTCAACTCATACATCACTGAGCAGAAAGTGTTTATCCAGCAGGATCACTGTGAAAAGCTTTATTTTGTTATTCTGACACGACTTCATCTGCAAAAATACTCTACACAGCAGAACTGCACCCTCTGAGCCACCCTGCACCACAAGATAAAATCACTAGTAATAAAAAAAAAACTAAAACACAGAGGTAGCAAAAACTAGAAATGTGTGCAGACTCGGTGTGTGTGTGTGTGTGTGTGTGTGTGTGTGTGTGTGTGTGTGTGTGTGTGTGTCTGTGTGTGTGTGTGTGTGTAGTGTTTGCAGGTCTGATGGCCCAGGGGACAAAGCGCTTCTCTGAGGGTAGCAGCTCAGACAGTGAGTTTGGAGGGTCACCAGTGAATGCCTAGGTTTTCCTGAGGCTGTAGGATGTGGAGATGTCTTCCAGGGTGGGAAGAGCTGTGTTTATAACTCTCAGCAACTAAAGTGCGACTAGAACAGACCAGAACTAGCAACAACTACCTGGACTTCCCTATATCCACCCAGGAAGCCCTTTAAGTATCCTACGTGGGAATATTTTAGATACCCAAAAATGCTAATGGAGAAAATTAGGACTATGGCTCTCTGCAGAGCTTGCAAAAAAATGCATCCATAGAATCCAACTCCTCCAGTCACCTGCATCTGAGATCATCATGCGGACAAATGAGCTACAACTAGGCCAGATTACATCAGGGCCTGCAGTAGTTTAACAGTAACATTAGAACAATCTAGAGAACAAGGGTTCATTTAGTAGTGTCTGACCTACAATTCCCTTAGTCTTTGAAAGCCATTTTAACATTGAATCAACAGCACTAGAAGGAATTTAACATCTAATTTCTTCCTCCAATGCTGACTTTATAAGGCAAGTCACCCCGTGCCAGAGTCTTACTCCACCCACACTCCTTGTTTGAAAAATGCATCAAAAGGAGAATGCCTGGTGTACCTAGAGGGCAGAGCTACAGAAGTGATTGACAGAACTGGGTTTTCAACTATCACAAAAACAATCGGACTCTAGAAACCCAGTTCGGCTGTCAGAGGGGTGTATCAATTCCCTTTTGGAATAACATAGCAAAATGCAGAAATATCTATCAGTCTATCCCTGGTGCTCCCCTTCTTAAATACCAGGCAAAAGTCTTCTCACTGTGCACCAGATGACGGTCTTGGAGACCCTGAAGGCTTCTACTGAAATCTAGTGGCAATGTTTTTTTTCTGGGACTTAAAACCCTTTGAGGACAAAAAGGAATTTTGCAATGAAATTTAATTCTTCTGATGGTGCTTCATCACATCCTAGAGTTTACGTAAACTGGCACCATAAAAACGCTGGCAGCAAACTTTGTGACCAGTCCTATTTATGTGACCAGGGCGGTACTTTTACCTCCACCCAAACAAATTCTTCACATAAATAACACCTGAAACAACTTTGTTATCTTATCACACTAAACAACAGAAACACACATCAATCCTGAGAGGTGGGAAAGTGTTGGGGTAATTCATCACTTCATGTCTACAGAGTACTCGGTGCCTACGTGCATGGGAATAACATACAGATAACAAGGATAAAACATACCAACAGCTCCAGTTCTGAGACTAACACTGTGAGTGTGAACATTTTATCACACCGTCTTGTGTTTTGGCTTTTTGTCTGATAAAGGTCACTCACTATCATTTGTCTTAATAGGAGTTGATATGTGTAACAGGAATTGTGCGGCAGTGACCCTCGATTGAGGTGATGTTTATCAATAAGGTGTAAATTCATTAAGCACATAGGGGGATTCTAAATAACAAGCAGTTGAAGCAAAGGTTGTCTTCTTTTAACTATTTCCAAGAAATCACAAGTTAATGTTTTGTGAACTCAAACAAGTGCAACAATACCATGCCATTCATGACAACATCTTTATAACACCCTTCTATAGCCAACAATCCGTCGCTACCCCTTTGACCCTGGAAAACCAGATAGGTGGTGTCATATATTCATCAATTTATCTGCTATTGTTTTTCCTCAGTGGTGGTTTAGTTGTGAAAAGATCACCAAGGTCTCTCTCTCTCACACACACACACACACACGGTTTAGGTAGGTTTTGTGTGCTGTTTGACCTTCAGACCGTGAATTCTGTCCCGTTTCCAAACTGTTGGCTAATTAATAAGCAAACTGCTCTGCATCGACATTGTTCATCCAATCAGGATGTCAAGAACAGACTTCCAGGAACGTCTGACTCACTGTACCTGGTATAAGCCGCCTAGACTTTCTCCCCATCCATCAGAATGATGAATAGGTTAATAATTATTACCCAACACTTTCATTTACTGTTGTAAAGCAACTAGCTTTTCACAGACATGACTTTATTTCTTACATGATTGTAAAGACTTGGAACTGCTGACAGTCACCGTGGAATCATGTGAATATGGCCACAAAAAAAAAAAATACAGATGAAACCAATTCAACTTTAAAGATGAAGCTAACATATCTCATGAGATATCCCAAGCCTTTATTTGTGATGATTATGGTGATGAAAACCTTAAATCCTAAATCTTAGTGAAGTAGTATATGATGAAAAGGTTCAATATTCTAGACTCAAAGTGTCACACATTAATCAGCTAATGAATCCAGAACACCTGCAGAGAGATTCTGAGCCTTTATATAGCCTCTCAGTCTAAGCTGGATTACTGATATAAATGGACTTTTGAACCATATTCTAACTTTTCCAGTTTCATCTGTATGCAAAAATGGCCAAATGTCATGAATCAAGTCCTCATTCAAATTATGAGGCTAATCCTTTATTATTTAATCTGGAAAAATGTGACTATCCAAATTCAGTGAACTAACCTCCAACAGATTCAGTTTAATGGGGGAGGGGAATTTGAGTCTAATTCAATATTTGCGATATGTAAACATCTCACCTCTGATAGTCTAACAGCAACATGACTCCTGCTGCCTCTGTTTTACTCTTCTTTCTGTCTTGGATTATGAATTGATGTTCCCTTTTAAGCCGGGCGTACACTGTGCGACTTTTTCACTTTTTTGAGCCGATTTTCCACTCGTGCGAGAATCCACGAGATCGGGGCGAGTTTTGCGCCGAGCGTCGTGTAGTGTACAGGGGGTTACGAGAGGCGATTAACACCACGTGACCAGCTGCCGATCAGCAGTCGTGAGGTCGCATGGACTTCTGGCGTGTTTAATATTTCGCTCGTCCCTCGTGAGGGTATCGCACTGTTGAAGCGGCGCTGCGAGCAGCTGCGACCCAAAAAGTATCAGAACCACTCACGGCGCATGCGCAATCCTGCATCAACACCGCTCGCCCGCTATTTCCCTAATAACACACGTTGTTCGTTTTAATTTCTACACGTTTTTTTACTCACTAAGATTGTCAAGAAAGCGTGTTTGTCGTGTTCATGTCAAATTAAACTGATCACAAAACACAGATTTACTTTCTTTATTTCGTTTTCCTAATCCAACCCCCATAAATCCCTGTGTGTCCTCCTGCAGCACTCCCGAAGGAAAACAGGCAAAACAAGACCAAAAAGTCTAACGTAAAAAACTGCTATTTTTAGCATATTTTTAGGGCTGACGTGTTGCTACCAGACGTACAATGTGAGCAGTCAGGTCGCATCCGAGAACTGGGTCGTGCAGTGTGAGCGCCTGGCTCGTGAGATCTGCTCTGCGAGGAAGTCGTACAGTTTGAGCTGAAGCTGAGTGCTACGAGTGAAAAAGTCGCACAGTGTACGCCCGGCTTTAGTCGATTCACTCGGTATAACAATGGGACATCACGCCTTCTTGTGGCCTGGCTGAACAGTGTGATGCTGTGTGGAAGCCCCGCCCTCCACTTAGAAGCAACAGTGTCCCCGCCATTCCTCAGTTCTTATGCTCTTAACCTCGCTGATAGCATGTAAGTACAAAGAAACTATTGTTGGCTATACTATTTAAAAGTTAGCTTAACTGCTCACTGGCGTTGATTCTGCTGCCTTCTGGTCAGCATTTGCCCCCGAGCGCTACCTTTTTGTGGCTCTTTTAGCTTTCTGCCTCAGTGCTCTTTTGCTTCTGCTGCTCTGCTCCATGTCTAGCCATGAGCACCGTGTTGGACTCATTTAGGTGAAAGTCTGCTTCACTTCCCTGTCCTCAGGGCCGTGGTTTTTCTTCATAAAGAAGCACCTGTACAAAGCCTGTCCTGTCTGCCTTTGGATTCTTCATGCTAACAGAGCACTCTCGGACCCGGAGGTGTGCGAGTTCCGTCGCCAGCTCCATTGTCCCATGCTCGATCGGCATGAGAACTTCCTTTAACATGTCCTGGGGGACGCTGCGGGTTCGCAGGACTCCATGCTCTCCAAGTCGGCTCCTGCAGCTTTGCATGGTTTCGATGCAGGCAATCTAGTGATTGAGTCCTCTGCTGCTAGCTGGGAAGATTACATGGAGGTGACACACAGGCTGATCAAATCCAACCTAGAGATTTACCCGTTCTCTACTCCAGAGGACGTGCTGGACATTTATATGAACAGTCATGACCTGCTGAGGACTAGGAAACTCTCTTAATGG